GCCTTTCAAAATCTGTGAAAAGTATTTAAAAAGAAAAGAGAAAATGCTAGTATTTCAAAACCCTATTATAATGCATTTTCAAATATGTCAGACACATCTTTGTTAAAATTAAACCAAGGATTGGTTTTGAGCGAATAGCCCTATATCCTTACAGATGCTGTGGATGGATGCATCTAAGCTGCTTATTATATTGATGGGTTTTGCTGCTCTGCAGCAAATGAAAACAGGCAGCTGCTTCCTCCATCAAAGCAAAAAGCAGCCTGAGTTTTTATTAAACGAGTGTTCATTTCTTCTATTGCCAAAATTCTTACACAAAACAAAAGAGCAGTTTTAGCACATTATTGCTTAACTAGACATGAACAACTGACAGCAAGTGATAAGCCTGTCTGCTTTTCACAACTGGTAATCATTTTTGGAATAGATGTTTTAATATAGTTGAATATAAAATTTTGTAATTTACATCTACAATGGTACATAAATTTATAGATCCAGTTTTTTGCAGGAGAATGAAGGCTATAATCACAAAAGGTTTGTTCCAGTGTTGTTTAATTTTTAATAACTATTTGAAAACTAGGTAAACCTCCCCCCCCCCACACACACACCGCACAAATTCATTCATTTGAAAAAGATGTTAAAGACAATCATACCAGTAGATTTGTACAGTTGGCCAATTTTTCTTATGGAAGGGATACGCGTACATTTACAGCTTTGACTTGTTACTGTATTTCCACATCAGTTCCACTGAGCTTCTTAAGTTTGTGCTCAAAAAGAAATTTGCAGATTGCAGACCATCATGTTTCCCTCCTAGTCRTGAATAATAATGAGAATGAAAGTGAGAGATACAGAGCTGAGGCCATTTTGCCTAGGCTGAAGATCTCAGCCGGTGCTTATACATATTTTTCAATGATCTGAATATCATGAATTCTGCTTTAGATCAGAAGAGAGATAAGAGTTTCTACAAAATGTATGTGCATAGGAAAAAAATGTTTCTCTTTATATTCTCTTCTATTTTTTTCTGATGTTCTTGTACCTTTTCAAACTCACTTATAGCATTCCTGCTGTGGAAAAGTAAGCTAGCCATTCTCCCTGCCTCAAATTACTCCTCTTCACTGGACTTAAAAGGTGGTTTGCCATCTGCAAGAGCCAGGTGCAGTAAGGCACAGATAGAAGGTGCTTCTGTAAAGGCTATTAAATAATTTTCTTTTTTCACACTGTGGGCATTTATTGCTGAAGTTACTCACTTGTAAATTTACTCTTGGGGTAAATTTCAGAATGGAAAGTCACAGATTAGACAACTGGACTTTCAAAATATGTTAGCTCTTAAAGATGCTGATATTTGAGGTAGTCAGATGTCCAGAGGGGCATGGTACTTGGTGGCTGTTCTCATTTTGAAAACCTGCTCTCAAATTCAGTTTTGYAGTAAATAATTTTGCAGTTCTAGGCACACCATCTGCAACTAACTTGGCAATGATGACCCTTTTTTTATCAGTTTCTGCTGTAGATGGATATAAACTTAAAATTTTGTTTACTGAAAACAGAGTGAAACAACAAGGGTCYTTTCCAGGGGGTTTTTTCCTTGCTTAGCATTTTCCTGTTTCTTCATTTTACTAAAGTGGCCAGGTTTGTCTTTGGATTATTATGGAAGTTTTTATCTATGGAATTTTTCCACTTCTCTATACATACATTTTATGGTACCTAAAAAAATGAATATTTGTAGTATTAGTGCCTTATTACATGTGTTTACCTTTTTTAGATTCAATATAGTTACATGGGATCTTAGGTAGCAGGTATTACTGATTTGCTTTCATCTGTGTCACATTTTGCATGCTGTGTGAGCAAGTGAATGAAAATAAAATCTTCCTGACTATACTGAGCAGCATTTTTATGGTAAAATTATATTGAAAAGGGGCATGAGGTATGGAGTTTGAAKAAAGTTTAGAGCTAGAAATAGTTTTGAGAGCTATCTATACCAACTAACTACAAGAGTGCAATTATTTGCAGGTAGTTTTTACTCAAACAATTACTCAGATTAGAACACTCATGTTATGTTACTACCAAGATGTATTTGGCAGACATACCCWAGTGTATCCACTTTGTAGTCCTAATTGTGCTATTCATGTCATGTTTTAACTTCAACTTGGAGGAAGTGGAGTTTGGTGCTCCACTGACAAAAGGGCTCATATTGTTGGTTAGTGCTTAATTTTGAAATTTGCTGAACCTCGATCTTGATCTGTTCTCTTACTTCTCCAGGACCATTAGCAGGTGCACTGTGCTTCTTGCTGTGTGTGGTGGTGGTGCTCCACAGAAAACCTAACCAGGATAAAATCAGCAAACTTACCTTCCCATGTGACTTGAATATAGTCATATAATCAGTAGAAAATAAGGTTTGATACTGTAAAATTAGAGTTGTGACAATGCTACAATGCTCTGAGAATGGAAGAACCTTATTTTAAATTCCTAGAAGTACTTACGTTATATTCCTAGAATAGCCTTTTCAAGTAAATTCCTTAGTTTGGGGGATTTTCYATCTACTCTACAGTCTTTTAGCAGAGGTGATGGGCAATAATTGCCTGTCCAGACAGGCCATTAATTTAACACCTCTGCACAGTCTATTGTAGTGCTAAAGATTTTTCTCCTCTCCACTAAACACGTGTTTCAATGTCGAGGCATAAAACGGGCCTTACTTAGGGTCAGAAAACAGTTCTTCATTGCTCATTGCAGTTGGTACAACTTTTGAAACATTATTCATCACTTTGCCCAAAAATGCTTTTTTTTTCTCTTACTTTGATGACTATTCAAGCAATTAAGGTGGTTTCATGTAGTCAAGACTGAGGCCATACTAAAAAAAAAGTTATTTTTGAGTATATTCATATGAGGAAAATGACTGACTTTTCAAATTTAAATTGTCTTTGCTTTTGAGGGCTAAGGTAGGATTTGTACAAAATTTACTTGAGACTTCAAATGAATAGGAAGACGTCTCATAGTTTAATAGTGCAAATAAAAGACAAAATTTGAATGTTGAGATCAGACGTCTGTACATGTGACTGTGTGAAGTGCTAGGGGAAGGTGAAAATACTTTCAATTTGGCTTAGCTTTGAAAGTAACTTCGTAATCTCCTAGCACAAGTTAAGCAGTTGTAGGACAGCTTTATACCTCCTACTCAGAGCTTTCAGGGACAGCTCACCTGTCACCTCTAGTTGCCCCTATATTTCCTGTGTGCAGTGCTGGCAGACAGTAGAGCAGAGTTCCACTAATCCTCACTATCCCAATTAAAGTAATCAGTAGCTAGTATGAATTCTTTGTACCTATGGAGCACTGCTGAGACATAAGAGCTCCAATATTCAGATGTCTTTCTTAAAAATACACGTCTCCAAATTCTTTTCTGCTGACGTGATGTTCTTTAGGAACTTCACATCAGATCTCAATATTTTTTATCCAGAGGTTGATAGCATTCTTTAAAATATGTAGACAAAAAGCAGCAGGAGGGTAATTTTATTTTTTATTTTAATACTGGATAATTTATTTTTGGTCAACAATCTTCTGTATTATTTTACAGTATTTAGCATTTTTAGATTTGTTGCAGAAGAAGCACAGGCTTTGTGTAGCTTTGGGCCAGTGCTGCTCCACCTGATGGCTAAAACACAGCAGCCTCAGAAGGCTGTCTACACGTGGCTTAGTCCACGTGGGTCAAAGCTTGCYTTAGAAACTGTTGTGCCATGAGTAGTGCAGAAAGATCTGAGCTTGTCCATTAGAAAGCAGTATGAAAGTAATAAAACTGATTTAGTTACCTTTCTTTCCAATATTATGATTTTTTTTTTAGTGTTGTTCCTCTGTAGGAAGTGTCTGGGTGTCATGTTTTGATTACATCATACCTCAGGGTGTAAGGATGACTTGGRTTATTTTTCTTGGCCTTCCCATAATTTCATTCTGTATATAAGTATCTAAGTAACCAGATCTGTCTTTGTCTCTTACTTTGCTTCCCAATGTGCAAACTTGGGGCAATGGAAATTTATGATATAATCAAGTTCTTGTGAGGCAGACTGCATTACTGTGGTGACGTTTTATGATATGGTGGTAAGTGCTGTAGAAATGCCTGTATTTTGTATAGTTCTGATGCATTTGTAGCATTTCTCTATCCACCCTCGTACGATTTAGTGATAATGTTTTTCTACTCCTACTGTAATAAATAGCATAAATCTGTCTGGAAGGAGATATCATCTTTCTTATGGCATTTGTAGTGAAAATCCTGCTCCATCCTAGTGGTGAAAGGATACTTGTCAAGAGTTGAAATGTGGGTAGGCATGAGCTCTGTCTCTGTCCCATGTCTTCAGACATGCCCATTCTTGAGGGTCTCCTTTGAACACCAATGCRACTAAATTTTTTCATATGTTTCAACAGAGATTCCAGTGCTTTCTGGCAATTATTCTCTGTTTTCATGTTGGAGTTATCAAGGTGATAATGAGTTTTTATCTCCAGTAAATGTCACAAAGTACTTATTTTTCAAAAAGAAACTCTTGTTTCTCTCYGTTTCCTCATATAGTGAGGTTTTCTRGCCCCTCTTTGCAGGACTTGTAGAATTTTTATAGCCTTGAAAATATAAGCACCATTTGGGGGTCTTTTGATATTCTTTTGCCTATCCATTTGTAAATCATTCATTATCATGTAAGTAGTTGTACATGCAAATAGGTAACATCCAATGTTGTGTATTTATAATCAAATTCAGAAATCAAAATGAGAATAATTTTATTTTAAATATGAAAGAATTATTTTAAGTGTGTTCATAGGAAACTTAATCCATATCCATATGTATGTGTTTGCAGGAAATAAGTTGTGCTGTTCACAACATAGTGGTAGTTGTTAATTCATAGGAATTCTGCATTTCTGCATTGCAGCTGTATGTTTTCTAACAGAAGCAGAACTATCTTTCTTATACTTGCAAGTTCAAAATGTAGGTCATTGTGTTGGCAAATGTAGGTCAGAGTGAGGAGGAAGAAGACAGAATGCAAGCTCCTCCACATGGATCTTTAAGCTTATCCSTGTTTGAAGGTAAAGAGGCTTACCTACCTGGTCAAGCACGAGAAGCTTTTCCTTTTACTAAAATTAACACAGGTATTCTGGCTTCTGGCTTCTCGGCTTAGCTGGGAGCACTTGCACACTTGAGACTTGTTCATGAAAGACCTCCTGACTCCTGCTTCTTTAGCTTCCAGATGCTTATATCATCGCTGAGGTGATCCTTCCTTCCCTGTGGGGGAAAGCAGYGGGAAGGAGAGCTGTGTGCGTGGCTGGCACCTGCCTAAAGAACAGCATTGTCTTTGCAAAGGTGCTTTACCCTTCTGTCAGCACAGAGCCATCTGATCCACCTGCACTTCCAGCCAGTGTCAACCTTGTAATGATAGCGGGGGTTGGAGCTGTGACCCCTCAGAAAAGAGAGTGACACCATTCAAAGTGCCCTCTCAATAATAACTGAAGAAAAGTGAGAGACGTTTGACTGAGTGTACTGAAAAGTCAGACATTGAAGGATGTTTTGCTACAGTTGACAAGTATTTTTAAAATTCACTCAAGCTAGAAGTTTGCTAAAAAACGGTTTCGGTTTTTAATGTTTGTGGGTGTGAGGGTTTTTGTAATGTGAGAKAAAAGTGTTATAAATGGTATTAAATTAGCCGTGTCTTCACTAAATATTAAAAACCCACTTATATTGCTTGAGTATACACCAGCTACTGCAAACTGAAACATTCTTTATGTTATGCACTAAAATATTTAAACAGTTATTATATTTATTGCAAAATCTGTCATTTTAGCATATTTCAATGCTCAAAAGCATTGAAATGCTCAAAGGGAGATGAAAAACCCTGTGCAATTCTTAGTGTATATTTCACTAAAGAATGGGTAGTCTTGTGGAAATGTTTTATTTTAACCCTTAGCAAGTCTAARCAAAACAGCACTTTCAAAAACACCTGATCAGCCTGAATTGTCATAAACAGGACAAATATAAGTATTGCATTAGTGGTTTTGTCATACATATGTACCATCACTCTATTTTTTTTTTCTTTAAAGATCTTTGTAATGCAAAGTTTTGGATAAATCCTATCTTGGCTTTTGCTTGAGCTGCATGCAGTCAAGACATTTTTAAGTTTTCATTATTTCTCRCTATGAGTAAGGGTAATTCAGAATACTTACTGGATGGAAAGGAAGGATTATATTGATGATGGTTTCAGTCAGGCTCTAAGTGATTCAAAGAATGACAGGTTTTCTCCCAAAATTCTGCTTCTGTTAAAAATGTAGTGATGTTTTTAGTCTTGATAACTAAAGAAGTTCTAAAGAATACACATGCATAGTAATCTGCATGGCATTCAACTTGTCTAGAAATATCTAAAGGATGTTCTCTGTGTCAAATAAGTTTGCTGGAACTGTTGAAWGGTCTGTAGTTCATAATATGAAGTTTATGTCTCATTAATTCATAATGTCATGTGTTGGTGGAGGGGGGAATCTGTATCTGGATCTGACCAGTGGACAGACATGTAAACATGGTTTTTCATTGCTAAGCAACCACAGATGAAAAACACATACAGCCAGAATTTGGCTGCATATACTTTTGATTCATCCTCTTTTAACTTTGGAAACCTTTGCAGACGWAAGTCATGTGCCTGAATCTGTTTTCCCCAGGCTTTTTCCAGCCATGGAGCCTGGTGCCTGCAGGAGAGCGTGCAAGGCACCCAGGATTTGTGCTGCCCTCTCTGTGGGCCACGGCACTTGAGCTGGGCCTTCCAGGTGGGAAATTGGTGTGGCAAAAAAGCCAGTTTATGAGAGGCTGGTTTTGAAGGAATAAAATTTACATGGAAGACTCCAAGTAATTGTCAATGTTGATTATGACCTCTCTGTGTTATGATGGAAGCTAATAAATTGATGAATAATACAGATTAGGTGAAGAATGTGTGATTGCTCCTGGCTATTTCCATGGGAAAACTATGGGAATTCAGATTAAAATGGCACGAAGGCAAGTAGAAAAGGAGAGAGGAGGGGTTTCTTTATACAGCAAGGTCAGACTGTAGCACTTCCTGGTACAGCTCTGGAAAATTTACCACAGTACTGTTAGCAGGAGAATAACTAGAAAATCCTTCAGTGCCTGTTAAGCAGAACTTACCACTTGTATTTCTTCTTCTCCTTCTGAACTTCTTGAACCACAACTGGAAATCACACTGTTTTATTGCTCTAGTCCTGGATCTGTCCTTAGCATGTTCTGCTGGTCATCTCCCTTACTGCTGGTCATCTCCCTTGCTGCTGGTCATCTCAGTCAGACTGATGCCTGACCTAACAAAAAAAAACTAAGACAAAAGGAGCTAAATAAAAAACTGGGAAGAAATTGAGTGGCAGTAGCATGATGATAATGTAGCTAATGAAAAACAAGAGGGCTCCTGTCCCTTCTTGGAAACAGTCTACAAGACAAGGTTGGCCTTGCATCTGGCCTGGTACAAACAGGTTGGTGTTCATGTGAATGGACAAGGTGAATTAAATTTTATATGACTTTTAAAGTCTTGATTATTACATGCATGTGTRTAGATATATGTGTGTGTTTGTGCGTGTGTGAATGTATCTATGAATTTCTGATCATTGTGATGAAATCTATGAAATATTAAATTCCAATGCTTAAATCATAGCTTTTTTTTTTCTTTATTCCATGGCATTATGGCAAATTTAGAAAATAAAACAGTGGGTAAAAGTCTGCAAATGGTAATATACATTCAAACGTTATTTTAGACCAAAAAATATCTGTTCTGAGAAGGCAAATATCTTTGTTTTATAGGTCTCTGGCCATCTGAAGAAGTGCTGGCTTACTACTGCCTAAAGCATAATGAAATATTCAGGTACAGAGTTAAACATAAAAAGATATTTTCCAATCTCTTAGTTTTATTGTATCTGCATGGTAAAGTTTGCTATGATTTAAGTCTTCAGATTAAATTTAAAATGTTCAAGGTGAAAGCATGTTGCTCTTAACAAAGAATTSTGAGCTGCCTTTGGGTACTAATATTGCACAGCAAGCTTTCTGCTATATGTCAAAGACTTTTGATTTCCACTCAAGGCGTTTTATTTCACTTTGATTTTTGGGAAACAAAAGTGAAGCTCCAATCGATCACTGCTGATTGTGAAGGTCAGGAAAAAGAAGATATTCTTTAAACTGCCATCTGTTGCAAAAGCAAGCAAAATATTATCTGATAAAATACATAGTAATCACTGCATATAGTAAGAGGAATTTGCACCTGTATTTAAGYGTTGTGAAATAGTTTTGAAATATCCTTCACTTTTATTCAGTTTTGAGTTTTTTCACATTTTCTAACTTGCAGAAAACAGTTATCAAGGCTCCAATATGAACATCTAAAAATAAAATCCATCCTGCATCCACTTTCTTTCCCCTTGAGTATACTGAGATTTGCACTTGGAAATCCTTGAAGTTTCATTGTCTGGAGGATGAATGGGGTGCAAGAAAAGCCATTATACCAATGCATTTGGAGGCATAAATTGTGTTCTGAGAGAGTGTGTAAGGTTAATACCGAGTAAACCAGCTTGGAGTATACGAAATCCCAGTTTGTGTAAAGATGATGTTGGTAAAAAAAGGAACACCAAACTGTAAGCCTTTGCCTCTTTTACCATATGAGCAACTTGCTTAGCTTCCTGTCTGAAATCAAGGACTGGCACCAAAATGTGCCCAGGTTCATGGAGCTCATTTCTACTCCCTCCACCACCCGAATTGTGCCTGGCCCGTTAGAGGAGGCGGCTCATACACCTCATCTGGGCGCTGCTGCTCCTTCCTCCCAGGCTGGTTGGGCGCTGCTCCCAGCTCAGTTGTGTGACTTCTGCTGCTGTAATGGTGTCCCTATAGCACTTTGCTGTGCGGCCCCATGCTCATATGCTCTGCTTGTTTTCCAGGGCCCCTCACAGCAAACCTCCCTGTGCTGCTCACTCAAAGGGTATTTTCCTGGTTTGGGTATGCAAGCCGTGATACTCAGACAAGAGTCAAACTTCCATGGAGTAAATGGGCAGTTTCACATCTCGATTTCATAGGATTATGCCCTCCTGAGTGTACTCTCAAGAGTAGAGTTTCTTTTAATTCCCGTTAATAAATATCACTAAAGAATCCTGATAGACAGATACAGCTTTTAAAATTTGTTAATAAGGGAACTTTGCACTGAAATAAATTTTGTATGCAGAAATACTCATGTGTATATGTGTGTATGTGTATGCTCATATATTATGTACAAAAAAAATAATTGGTTCAAAATGTACTCAAAAACTCACCCTGGATACTTTAGGTATGATTCTTATAAAGAATTAAGTGCCTTGCAAGTCTTATATATAACCATAAATATATACTTTTAATATATAATACACTCGATTAGAAAAACTAAAACTTACTTGGGAAAAAACTATAATCATTCTGTTTAAAACCCAAATTGCAAATTTCCCATATTTGTTTTGCATTCTTATTGGGCTTATATGCAGCTTTTTCCTCCAAACTATGTCTGTRTTTTGTCTCATTTTGATTAAATAGGACAACTAGACTTTTTTCAAATAAAATTTGTGTTGTCTAAGAAAAATAAATCTAACCCATCCAGACAGCGAGCTTTATTATACAGCCACACAGGCTAGTCCACTCGCCTCAGTGAACAAAATATCAGCATGTGTATACTGATACTGATATGGCATCCTAGATGTTCTTCCTAAATATCACTGTTGAGTGAGTAGGGATGGGACCTTATCAGCTAAAAATAGACTTTCATATGTTGATGTTTTAGGGGGGAAGAAAAGGTGCACCAAAAAAAATCAACCAAAAAAAAAACCCCAAAACCAGACCCAACCAAACTGTTTAGCTGAAATTCCATTTTCTGCCTGTGTCAGAAGTGTCTCAATGGGAATGCTCCTGCCAGCTGTAACAGTTGCCGCAGGTTTTGCTATAAAGCAGCGTGTTCCTAAAYGGAGGCTCTGCCTTGCCCCAGACGCTGCTTCACACAGTTTCGGTGCGGGGTCAGCATCCCTCCCTCCTCCCTCCTGGGGCAGGCCACGGCTCTGGAGGACATTCTTTATGGCTCCCCCTGCAAGCTCCCATCCGGCACACTCTCTGCGCCAAATTATATTTCACATGCACGTCTTAATAACAGCACAGTATGGTCTAAGTTAAAAGCAGCCTTTTAGACCATGCATTCAGCCCTTTGATCGGGCTCAGTTTAGGCTCTTGACACTAACTTCGTTTAGTTTTCTGAGGCTTAACCGTTTGCTGTTCCCATCGTTGTTCATAACAGCATTGTTTGTAGGTCACTTGCAGTTTTAAGTGCTAATTGAAGGATCGGATTTCTTCGTGTGTAATTATTTTGTGGTATCGAGCTTGCTTTAAAACTTCTCTCTTTTTAATATAAAAAGGCTTTTAGGCATAACTATATGGAGAGATATATAAATAATATTAATTTCCCCATTTACTTCTCTAGCTGTTTTTGCAAGAATGAATGTGGATTAACATTGTTATCCTTTCCTAACAATTATCTTTCGCTACTCTAGCTAGTTTAGTTCTAAAAGACAGAGCCATTGACAAGGGAAAAAAGGGAACCTTCTCAGATTTTTCAGCTCAGCGGTGGTAATGTTGCACTGAACACTAATGAGGGAACCCCCACTGATTTGCCTGCTTTGTGACTTTTCTATTTCATAATTATTTTTAAAACGCAAAACGACATGAGGTAGCCTAGTCATGTCTCTACAACTTCCTGGTAGCTCAGTTCTTACTGCAGATGGCAATTTGTTCTTGTAACATATATGTCTCTCTGACCATTTTCATCTAATTTGTATGGGTTCTACCATTTCCTTTCTCTCTTTCAGGGACCTTGCTGTGTGTGAGCTAGGGGGTGGCATGACATGCTTGGCTGGGCTCATGGTAGGTCTTTTCTCAATTCCAATCCCATTCAGAGGAAGAAACAAAAGGAAAAATGTTCCAGTGCCTCCAACTGCTGGGTCAGAGAACTGTCAACAGCCTCAGCTGCGGTCAAGCTGCAGAGTCTTGAGAGACCTTCTAGATTGACTTGCTTTCGTATCATATTGATTTTATGGTTGCCTCGATGAGCAGAAACATTTTACCTCGGTGTAGTCAATATCTTTTGTTGTGACATTCCAGGCCACGTACGGTCTGTCTTTCATTGCCATAGCCGAAGCTTTTTTTTTTTTTTTCAGATTATAGTCCCATTTGCTAAGATACAGGAATAGCCTGGCGAATCACAGTTGGAGCACCATGATATAGCTGCTAATGTTTTGCCTGCATTATTACACCAACAAACATGATCCAGAGCTCTCGGTAATTAGATTCTTTTGAATTAGATTGGCCATTCAGGAGAGTCGTTCACCATTCTCTGGGTTCTGAGTCATGTATTCAGGAGATATTATGTAGCAGTGCAGTGCATTAGACAAGTTTTTATGTCTCTACAAATAAAAGCATATTGTTACACTGATTGGCATTTGACAAACCTGTCGCTCTTATACAATGTGTCGAGGTTACAGCCCAATGTGCGAGCATGTCAAAGCTCACAAAAAAATTACCCTTACAAAGCCATCTGCCTGCAATGCAAAGTTATATGAAGGGCATCAGGCAGTCAGACAGAAGCAAGCTGAAAGGCAGAGTGACAGCCTTGTATGATGGCTCTACTAGATAAACAGAAGCCCGCAAATGAAAGCCTCTCAGAATACCATCATCGGCTGTCACAATGCAATTACGGAACAGAATGATAGCAAGATAGAGGCTCCCGCAAATGGAATGATAAAAGTATTGACTGATTTGATTGAATGATTAAAATAATGCAGACATAAAATGAAAAAAGATTGAAGATTGTTACAGAGAAATAGGTGAGGAAGCATGATACTGAAGGCTTGTCACTCCTGTCTTCACTTCCACACAGACAAGCATATTTGCTCATTGTTTGCTGTGCTCTTTTTTTCAGGTTGCTATTTCTGCAGATGTCAAAGAAGTTCTGTTAACTGATGGAAATGAAAAGGCCATCAAAAGTATCCTTATTCAGATAGAAAACTGGTTTGTTGTGCTCGTTCCTTTTTACTGGCTGAGTAACAATCAATATAAAGACAGACAGCATGGGGCATATTAAGGAAAAGTCCTCACATAAGTAATTAAAAAACAAATGTGGAATATCTTGAACAAAGCAGCAGCTTCCCCCATAATAAATGCCACATTTTCTCCATAATTAAAAATGCACATGTTGGTATAGAACATGTACAGTAGTAAATATTTATTGTGTGGTTGAATGCTGGAAGATTCGTGTATGTACGCTGCATGTTATAGAAGGTGTAGCAGGGAATCAAATCATTAGCTCCTTCATGTTTTGCACAAGAGCTAGATTTTTTTTTCCTACTTTCAAATAGTAGCCTCTTAAAACATACCCAGGATTTGTACACTGTCAGAGCTTTTGCAGTGTGTGTTGAAACGTTTCATTGTTGCTGCTAAGTTATAACTGCCTACAAATTACCCATTTAGTCTGCTTAATCAATTATCAATTTATCACTATTTATCTTGATGTAAGATTGCAAAACTCCTCTGTCYCCTGTTGAAAGTATTTTATTGTATTCCTTATATTAGAATAAATTSCTATTATGTCCTTCTAATATGAACATATAGTTCAGAAAATTGAACTGGACTTGGGCTAAGCGAGAGAATGAGTGAGCATAATTTGTGGCCACATTAAATATCAGCACAGAACAAGAACAGATATATACAGTGAATACTAATAGCCCTTAGAAATTGAGAGGAAAAAAAGGAAGATATCTGTTTGCTTTTGTTCCTTGATAATATTTTCATTTACATTTTAAGGCAGGCTAATTTTTCAGGTTTTGGCCACTGCAGCATCAKAATTATTTCTATTTGAGTTTTGTATGTATTTGAAAGCTAACACAGTRAGTACTTAGTAAAGAAATAAGTTAAACTAATCCGTGGCTTAAATAAATTGCAGTTGCTGATGTTAAAACAGGAGACATTTCAAGGCAATAATATTACATCCTCCCTTTTAAAACACTTTCTCAGAGGTAAGTGAGGTAGCTATAACTGCTGACAACGTTTGAACAATTTCATGTTAAATACAGTCAATCCTAGATMATATCTGTTAAAACTTGAAGTAAGCCTGCTAAAAGTCTCCTTTTTCTTAAAAAGACAAGTTCTCACCTGTGTTCCAGGGATTCTTATTTTGTTAAATTCTGGTGTGTTAGACTTGTGTCTTGAGGAGGAAGTATTCATTATTCTCTGTATTTTATTCAGCCTCACCCCTTCCAATCGTTCTTCCTTATCATTATGAAGATGAAAAATATGGGAGAAGTGTTTCAAAACTAGCCTAACAAAACAAACTCATGTTGTATAGACATAAAGGTATTTAACRAAAGGTCATTTTACCCACAAAAAGCTTCAGGTGGGCTCAGTAATCATCAAGTCAGCAAATGTCTTGCATAGCAGATTCCATAAATATACCTGAACTTTTTTGAAATGTAGAGGTCTTATATAACAAGGAAAATTGGTGAGTGCTAAAATATTCACTCAGTCTTTGGAATTAARCAAATAAAAGTGCTTTTATACCTGAAAAAGATATTGTTAATGTTATCTGATTATCACACCTTATTTTTTCACAATATGTTTTAGAAATGTCTTCTGTTTCCAAAAGTCTTACAAGAGATCTTCATCTGTATTCACATAGTGAATCCCTTTCAGAGAAACGATTGGTGGACTGCTCTAACAGGAATTTATTTTTCTTTTTTAACATTTGGTGCTCAGAAGGCTCTGCATTCAAAGTGCTTTTATTGTGTTGGATTTTACAATGGGCTTAATATTAGCAGGGTGCCAAAGTGCAGCAGGCTACGAACTTTACCATGTAGGTGAAATGTATTCTTAAAAGTGCACATAATAAAATTTATGTTGCATTTTATATGTTATGGACTTCAGTAGTAATTTTATGATCCGTGTTATGGTAATTTTCTTTTGCACTCTTTTCTATAGTGRCTGGCTATAATAGAAGTTTAGGCTAAATTTAGGTCTGTTTCAGCCACACTAGACTCACTGAAACCAGGATAGAATTTTAGGTGTAGTTGGAAATAGCATTCACCCYAAGTGTCACTGACAACAAATGATGTACTTTTGTTAGTTCTTACTATTGCTGATGGTATTTTTTAATTGTTTAGCATACCAAATTAAGGTAATGTGGGATAAAATACTGTTTTCTTTTCTAGATTCTGCTCTTCAGGAATAGTTAATGCCTAGTATTAYGCTTTTTATGTAGGTATTATAGATTAAAATAATCTTGTTTTAAAATTACTGTTTACCTCTTCCCTTTAAATTTCTTAGGAAGCTTAAATTACATGCCAGTCATACTATAATATCCAAAAATTACTTTCCAAAAAGTAAAAGTGGTTGTCAACAAAAAAGAAAAAAATCCCTGTCAGAAGCCAGGAAATCACCAAGCAAGCCTGCTAATTATTCTTAATGGGCAAGATGAGCACATTAAGAAACAAATGAATACATCAGTGAAATGTAATTGAAAATCGACCTGGCAATAGTGCATTGCATCTGAGAATCTGGCTTTGTATTATCAACATCATCATAATTATTGTTGTTTTTGTTGTTGCTATCACTATTCAGTGAGCATAACTAACAGCTTTGCTTTGTGAAATCTCAAGCTTTTGAGGATTTGATTTTTCTTTTAATTTTTGATGTGCTTCCTATTAATCTCCATTTCATACCGCCACGTGAAGTATTCTCTATGTATGTTTTCAGTATCTATATTAGGATACATTATAAAAACATTAGAAAGTAAAAAACATTTTATGAATCATTGTCAGTTACAAGTAAATTTCAAAYAATTGTTGTCATCCCAACCTTCTCACTGTGAAATATATTGCTATGTATGAAGTATGATGTTTATGGAGGTTTTTAAAAGGATATTATGATTGAGTTTCTAGACCATTTAAAAGACTTCACTCTAACTTCTTTTGCTTATCATGAGCAGGTTTTAATTGATTAACTAAATCATTTATATTGCAAAATCAATAAAATAAAGRCAGATTACATTCCTTTTGCCATCTTGTTCAGAACTTTATTGTTGATTTAGYGTGTTCTAAGTTATTTCTGTATCATTTAAATCAGGAAAATATTAAGATTAAAAATATAGACATTTCAAGTGAATAATAAAGATATACATRGACAAAGTTATCAGATTCTTCCCCCATTGTAATTTTGAGTGATATGCATTCAGATACAAAATTTCCAACTTAGGTAATATCTGTGACATAAGTCAGTCATGAACATCAAATTTTATTTCCTCAAAATACTGGAAGCATCTTTACTCACTTTGATGTGTCCGAATCCAAGGATGARGTTCATTTTAGCAAAAATTGTCTTCTGTTTCAGAGATGCTGTGTACTTTCTGCCTTAGCTCTKTTTCACACCATGCACTGTGACTTGAGCTACTGAAAGCATCAATAATACAAAACATTGTTGCAGTACASTATAATGGCCATTAAAATACAGTGTATGGATCTTTCAACAGTCCTGGGAAATTTAKGTTAGAAGGGTCATGTTTAGCCTGAATGCCCGAAGACATGGGCTCATAAATTATTTAGAAAAGCTAGTGTTAACGTGTTTATAAGCATTATTAATGGTTTTGCTCAGTTACATAATTTGGGTGGTGTAGCTAATTTACCAACAATGTTATTTCTCCCCCTATTTAAAAGTAACATGCTTTGCTCATGGAGTTATTGATGCCTTCCTTTTGCTGCCCAGGTATAGATCATTCACTTACTACTCGTCATATTGTGAAAAAGATTTAAAAGGCACATCTGAACTACAGAGATTTGTTTAAACCAGTTTTCTGTCATTCCATTTCTAGTTTTTGACTTCACAAAATACCAGTTGTCTTTTCCAGTGTTTGGATAGCGGCTTTCCTGAAATAACTTCTCTTAAATTACCAACTCTGTTAGGAAGGCCAATTATGGGATTTCAGCAAAGCAAAGAAAAAGATATATCAAAGCAAAGAAAGAGATATATCAGTGATATTTCAAATTAGCCTGGCTCTCATATTCAATTTTCTTGTAAGAGCACTTTTGAAAGATCTGACATATTTTGTGAACCTAGAAACATCCTCCTAATTAGCATCAGATTTCCTCCACTTTAAATGGAGTATCATTTACATCTTTACCAAAAAGGTCCATTAAAGATAATTATTTACATTTGAAAGTATGCAAAAGTATGTCTGGATTCAAACTGAGTAACAAATAGTTTTCACTTACTTGCTACACCTTTTCTGTCTGGTGGCTTCGCACTAACCACGAATGATTGATTAWGGAGGTTATTTTTCTATCCTGATGGCTAGATGACTGGGCTCAAGTTCCTCTGAAACTTTTCCTTGATAACCCTTGCTTTAACCTGCCCGAATGTCTACCCAAATTTGTGACCTGATCTTTCAAACTACAAGAAACTGAGACACAAAGCTGCTATATCTGTTGTGATATCTAAGGGGAAGAAAAGGCATTTATTGCCTTGAACTTTTTTAAAGTGGTTCAAAACCATTCTCAAGAAAGCAATTGGACTAGAAACTCCTTTACCTATAGATTAAGGTGCTCCTGTTGTGTGGTGGATTYACCCAGACAGAGCCAGGAACAAAGATGTGTATCTTGTGGGCAGGTTCTCAAAGCACCTAAGAGTCCAAAATCTCAGCATTGGTATAGTGATACAGTGAAAAACAGCACAAACTAAACTGAACATTCAGTGGTTGTGCAAAAAAAAATCAGTTCTCCATGGTTATAATTCTTGTATTTGTAAATAGTTGCCTTTAAATATATATAAGGTGTGGGAAAACTTTTTTCACTTCACTCTATAGCTACAGGGCTAGAAATTCCTTAAATAAATGAGCAAATAGAGGTAGGCAACTAGGGCAAATTGCTGCTAGATATAAGGAGATGATAYGCTGATGTGCTGGAGTAGCAATGTRAAGTCTATGCTTCTGAAAAAACACTGACTCAGCACAGATTAAAGAAGAACAAAGAGATAAGAGACAATATGAAGGCATTAGAAACAGAAAAGTGTTGGGTTTATTGTTTTTATTATTGTGCTAGTTTTTGGTTGTTTTTTTCTTAACAATTATACTGCAGATGTAAATGAGATCATCACAAGAAACCAAAATGCCGGCATCTTTAAGGCTCAGAAAGTGTCAAGCTGGTAAGATTCTACTGAAGTTTTTTACTGATTCGTGCATGTACTTTTGTGTTAATGTAGATGTGAAATGTGTGTGAAAGTGTGACCTGTGTTATGATGCTGACACAGGTTTATAGATAAGTAAGTAAGTAATGCAAGACAGACATTTAGAAGTATTAAAAAAAAAATAGCAAATACAGTATGATTAATTTTGGTGACACAACCTCTCTTTCCTTTTAATCTTTTTTTAATATACTCTATGTCTCTTCAACCTATGATTTAGTGCATGGTTGAAATTTGTCAGCTTCTGAGTCAACATTGCCCATTGTACTGAAAATGAGGATTGGAATGAATGTATCTGAAACACAGACAGGTTTCATTTTAAATAGCTCTGAGAATTTAGGGTGGCAACAAATCCCATTTGCCCCTCAGGCAGATGTTATTGGGGCATCCGTGGGAGGATTTTTGGTCATCCTGCCTGTGTGATCATTATTGTGTTGTCACTGCGAGGACAGATGGGGAGCACGGGAACCAAGCACGAAGTATTCGTCTCTTGCAGTACTTTAAAAGCAAATTATAAAGCACTTCAGCTTTGTGGTATAAGGTTAAGAATTAGAAAATGATTACCCAAGAGCAAATAGTACATTCCTATTTGTGTATCTAAATTTTTTTTTGATGACTCACATTGCAGGAGGGCACTCAGTCCTTCTAAAATTGACGAAAGTAAAGCTGCAAAAGGGCTGAGAAAGGCAAACTGTTAATGCAGAATCAGCATACTTGCATAGACGGTTAAACCTGTGCAGTTTTACTGGCTATCACTCACATAATTTCACTTTGTGCTTATGCAGCCATTCAGTGTAGAGAAGTTTGTTTAAGTGAGCAGTTAGGACTGGAAGAATTCTACCTTCATGAGGGTGTATGTGCATGTAACTTATGCACTTAGAAGCATCTGCATCCTAGTAAAACCTTGCCAAGCCAACAAAGGCCATGTGGATCCCAGGAATGGGCTTTCRGGTTCCATGTGCTGAACACCTCTTGTGAGCAGCCTCAGACACTCTGCTGAGGAGAGTCTATGCAGTATGTCCATCCAGAAGCTTTGATATTTTTAGATTTCCAGTTGCTCTATACTTTCTGTGAGATTTCAGATTTCATCCCTTGCCAAGACTTCAAACCTGGTCTTTTAGATATCAATCAAAAGCACATTTTCTACCCTGTCCTCATTTACATTTATCTAATGCTTAAGGTCATTTGTGATCATTTGAGTGTATTTCAGCATATGGAATCAGTGAATAATAGATTTCAGCCTCATGCTGTGAAGAAAGATTGTGTTTTTACAAGACATGATGTTGTTTACTGGGTGTTAATAATCACTAATTAATAAACATATCTAGACATCATAAAATGTTGCATTTTAAGGAATAAAAATGTCAAGTGTTTAACTTCTTGAGTGCAATAGCATTTGAGGCCTTATTTGCATAAATAAAATAATGAAATTACAAAATAATGTGAAGTACTATATAAAAGCAAGAGGCTCATTATAATAAACATTTGATTTGATTTTTAGTTCTACATTCTTAAGGCTTTTGGAGATTTGTTTTAACAAGTTTTATAAAATGAGTATTCAAATTATTCTCTAATGGATTGATCAGTCCTAGAGATTCAGTAACATTGTGATGCAGTAATAAAGTTATATGATCCCTTCTTAATGCCTTGAAAAGGCTGATGTAAAGTCTGAAGTAACCTTGATTCACTTTTCCTAAAGATGARAGCCTTAGTTACATAGTGGTTATGGGGAGAAAAACATGAAGAAAAAAACCCACAAGAAAATGAAGAGAATGTATGAGTGTTTTGAAGGGAAGAATGCAACACTGGTGTGCAAAGTGACATTCAGTGACTTCTTTTATGTTGATCAGATCTTGCAGGCAAATGAATATATAGTGACGTATGTAAGTGACTAGTGAGCATCAGTTTAATCTGGAGAAGGGATGTTCTTTGCTGTAATGTGTCATTTAAACAGTGTCCAGTCTTGCAACTTCACAGCGGCCCRTGGAGTTGAAAGATTCTTTCCATACAAAAGATTCATTCAGGACAGATCCTTCTCACAGCACCTTTGTCTTATGTCAGGATCTTGTACTCCTTTCCTTGCACAGGAGCAGAAATTCTCAATATGAGAGTCAGTTTGTGACTGTTCTGGACATTTAATTTGCAGTTTATTTGGAAAATATGCCAAAACATGTATGGAGCAAAAAGGAACAATCCGGTATCAGCCAAGAGACGTTAGGTTAGGACAACCTGCTATACATTTATTTGTTTCGATTTATACAAAATGCAGTAAATGAGCACTTATCTAGCTCTCTGCCAACTCCTGATTATTGTTTAAAAATATGGTAATGTAAGCCAAACTGGCAGTTTGTCATATTATGTGTTATAATGTAATAATAGATATTTAGTAAACAGTTTACTTCGCAGTGGTTATACAATTCTATTTTATTTTTCATGAAAATGCCCAGGATTTCTTGCTGRTATTTACTAGAAATAGGTACAGTAGTACCACCAAGTTACTAGTAATGTCTTGCCATAGTAAAGGGTATTAAAACCATGTATGGGCTTGACAGTTTTTTTTCCACAGTTCAAAAATTATCCATGAATCCCATTTTTGTCCCCTAAGACTTAGCATATGATCTGTCCTGATAGCATTCTCTGTGCCATCAACTGTTGCTGGTTTGACATGCATTATGTCATTGTTTTAATATGTCCAAATCATTAAATTAGTCAAGGAATCCCTGCTCTTCATCTTCTATTTGTTTTAATAGGGAAATCTTCCTCAAACAGCTGGTTGGGTAGTAGAATTTTGAAAAACTGTCATTATTACAAGTATGATGATGGAAAAGCGTTATCAAAGAGGAAGGCTGCAGGTTAACAGACAATCTGTCCTGCTGACTAGGAAATTTGTTCTTCCTTCGGATTTCTTTGTCTGAGAACACAGAATCTATTAAGACCAAGAGTTGTGTWCCAATTGCTGACATGGGACCTGTGGAGTTTTATGTATGGACAAGTCTATTGTTTTGCWAAGAGTTGCCTCAGTGGGATTACACACCAGATGGGATGTAAATAAGGATATGTAACATCAAGTCAGCAAGAGAAGTGCTTGTGGCAGTGAACCTTTGGTTTGATTAGTAATAATGTATCAAATACTCTTTATTCGTTCTATATTCATCTTTAGAACCCATATCAAGAATGAATGACCATACAACCAAAAGGGACAATTCTTTCTGCTTAAAGACTAACAGATAGATTACACTTCTATCTGAGATTTTAATGTTGCTTACCAATCTAATGCAATTACAAGCTTCCAGAACTAAATCTATAATAAAAAAAGTCTTTAGAAATACTAAATTGCATTCAGCATAACAGTGGATGAGGTCTCAATTGAGTAAAAGAGTATGGAACTATATCATCCTGATTTTGATCTTATATTAATTGCCCCTTTCTCTACAATTGCCAACATGAATATTTTCCCTGACTGCAATGTTCTTCAAATATGTCACCTTAATAACCTTCTTGATTTCAACTGGTCATATAATAAGTTCAACTGGTCATGTAATAGGTTCCATCAATGTTTTCTCTCTCTCTATTTTCATTCATCAAAATGACCTGAGTGTTGCTAAATTCAAACTTTTTGAAAACATTTTATTGAATTCATTGTGTTTGTCACCTTAGCGATGCTAAAGGAATCCTTTTCTTCCAACTCGTTTTCCAGTCTCGAGTAACACTCTTGCATGACAGCATCTGTTGGTAAGGAGGAAGCTGCCAAAAGGARCATTTCCTGCTCTTAGGTTAGGAARAAAAGGCTGCTGATTCTTGTTCACTTAATTTGATCACTTCATTTATATGTGGGAAGAACGGTTTGTGTGCTCATGTCCATTCTGAAATTGTAGTTCTTTATCACAGAAAGCTCAACTCAGGTGGAAAGCATTCCTACCTGAGATCATACCTGCCCTGCTCTATATCTTTTTCAATTTCAATCTACTTATTTTCAGATGACTGTGATCAGTATTGCATTCAAAGTGTGCATAAATAGGTGTATGTAGTGGAATAATTATGCTCTTTGTTCCCCTTCTAAAAATGCCTAACAGTGATTTGCTTTTTTCACTGCAGTTGAGCACAGAGCTAATAGTTTCATGACACTGTCTGTCACAACATCAGGAGATTTCCAGTGATGGTCAGTTTGGAGACCTTCATTTCCTGTATCAAGTGAGAATTATTTTCCATTGTGCACTTTGCATTTATCCACACTGGATTTCATCTGTCACTTTATTGTCCAATTACTCAGTTTCATCCTTCTGCAATCCTTCACATTCTGCTCTTTGCCTTACTGTCTTGAGTGACTTCTTAACATCAGCAAACTTTGCCACCTCGGTGCTCATCTCTTGTAAACACATTGAATAGAACAGGTCCCAGGGGAACTCTGCTGATTATCTCCCTTCACTGTGAGAATTGACCGTTTGCTACTAGCCTGTTCCCTGTTTTTTTGTTGTATTATTTTGCCATGTCAGGACTCTTCTCCAGTGACAGTGCATTTGCCTAAAATATTGTTAGTGAGGCTCCTTGCAATAGCTTTTTGGAATTATAAGTGTTACCCAGATCACCCTTAYCTGAATATTGTTAATGCCTTTGAAGGGCTCAGAGTTTATAAAACAAGACTTTCTCTTACAGAAGACATATCAAAAAAGGCTTCTGTGGTGAAATGTCTTCAGTTTCTTCTACAGTGAAGTAAATATTTTGCACTGATGCAAAGAATTAATCTCAGTTCTTGAAATATTCTCATCCTCTGTGAATGCCCATTCTGTATCCCAGTTATCAGTTGGCAGGAAGGTTTACCACAAAAGGAAGAATTCACTTATTTTTGTTCTGCCTGATTTTRTTATTKTATTTAATTTTGCAAGTTTGTGATKCTTTCTTMAGGTGGGTGCAATTTCAGCTTTTGGAGGGATAATCTAATAATCTTTTATACCATTTAATYG